GTAACTTATTTTCTATTCCAGTTCAATGAGATCTGAAATGGTTGGAAAGTCCAATGCATGATCTGTAAATGCTACCACATTTGGTGGTACTTGAAAGGTAAGGCAGATGAGGTGTTTGGAAGCTTGTGCGTTTTCCTTTAAATTTCAACTTCTGTCTCCTCCTCAAATGTTGTATATTTTCTTCGCAAAAGAGCCTTTTCTATTTTGGGTGTTTATAAGCCAAGGACTCCAATGAACAAAAACATAAGTTGCTGGAAAAGCTCAGCAGGTCTGGCAGCATCTTTGAAGAACAAAAACAGAATTAATGTTTCGGGTCTGGTGACCCTTCCTCAGAACTGATGGTGGCGGGGAAAACATCAGTTTATATGCAGGAAATAGGGAGGTAGGTGGGGTAGGGAGTAAACAATAGGATAGAACCCAAATAGAGAGAAGAACAGTTGTACAGACAAAGGAGTTGATAACGATCAGGCTGGGACGGTGAGTAGTTGTTAATGGGGACTATTAGTGACCAACAATAGGTAGCGTGTAATAGCAGTCTATATGATAACAGGGCCTGGTGTGTGGGATAGGGGGCTGGGACGAATGAGAGCTTAGGCCCTAAAATTATTGAACTCGATATTGAGTCCGGAGGGCTGCAGGGTCCCCAAGTGGAAAATGAGGTGTTGTTCTTCCAGCTTGTGCTAAGATTTGCTGGAACTCTGCAGCAAGCCAGAACCAGAGATGTTGGCCAGGGAACAGGTTGCTCAGCGTCTTTTTTTGCGAGCAGAACGTCGATGTTCTGCAAAGCAGTTGCCCAGTGCAGTCAGTTCAGAGAGAGATAGGTTGGATTTGGTGAGGGGGGCTTCTTCCTGGAGCAAAGACCTGAGCCATCCCCAATTTCCCTTCCCCCTTCACCAAATCCAACCTATTTACCTCTGAACTGACTGCACTCCATGCACTTAGATCTAACCCTGACTTTGTTATTAAGCCTGCTGATATGGCTGGTGCTGTTATAGTCTGGCATACTGACCTCTACCTTGCAGAGGCTGAGCGCCAACTCTCAGATACCTCCTCCAACCTTCCCCTGGACCATGACCCCACTATGACACATCAGACCATTGTATCCACTGCAATAACTGATCTCATTTCATCCGGTGATCTCCCACGCTCTGCTTCCAAGCTGAAAGTCCCCCAGCCCTGCACAGCTCACTTCTACCTCCTCCCAAAAATCCACAAACAGGACTGTCTGGGCAGACCCATTGTTTCAACCTGCTCCTGCCCCACAGAACTCATCTCTTCCTACCTTGACTCAGTCTTCTGTCCCCTGGTCCAATTCCTGCCCATGTACATCCATGATTCATCTGATGCCTTACGCCAGTTTCAAAACTTCCAGTTTGCTGATTCCAGCCGCCTTCTCTTTACCATGAACGTGCAATCCCTTTACATGTCCATTCCCCACGAGTAGGGTCTCAGGGCTCCCCACTTCTTCCTGGAGCAAAGACCTGAACCATCCCCACCACCACCACCCTCTTCTGCTTGGCTGAGCTCGTTCTCACCGTCAACAACTTCTCTTTTAACTCCTCTCATTTTCTTCAGGTAAGAGGGGTTGCCATGGGTACCCACATGGGACCTAGTTATGCCTGTCTCTTCATAGGGTACATGGAACGTTCCTTGTTCCACTCCTATTCTGGACCCCACCCACAATTTTTTCTCTGCTACATCGATGATATCATCGGTGCTGCTTCCTTCTCTCATCTGGAATTGGAAAACTGCATCGATTTCGCCTCCAATTTCCACCTTGTCCTCACTTTCACCTGGTCTATTTCTGACTCCTCCCTTCCCTTCCTCGACATTTCTGTTTCCATTTCTGGCAATATACTGGCTAATAATATCCACTACAAACCCACTGACTCCCACAGCTACCTGGATTATACATCCTCACATCCCACTTCCTGTAAAAACTCCATCCCATTCTTTCAGTTCCTCTGTCTCCATCGTATATGTTCAGATGAGGCCAACTTTGACAAGGGAACCTCCGAAATGTCCACCTTCTTCCTCAAGCAAGGATTCCCCTGCACTGTTGTCAACAAGGCCCTCAACCGGGTCCGACCCATCTCCCGCACTTCCGCCCTCACCTCCTTCTCTTGCCTCCCGCAACAGCAATAGCATTCCCCTTGTCCTTACCTACCATCCCACCAGCATCCACATCCAGAAGATCATCAGATGCCACTTCCGCCACCTCCAGCGAGATGCCACCACCAGACACATATTCTCCTCCCCTCCCTTGTCCGCCTTCTGCAGGGACCATTCCCTCCGGGACACCCTGGTTCACTCTTCCTTTACCCCCAACAACACCCCCCTGACCCCCCACAGCCCCACGGCACCTTCCCCTGTAACTGGTGAAGGTGCAACATCTGCCCATTTACCTCCTCCCTCCCCAGTATCCAAGAGCCCAAACATACCTTCCACGTGAAGCAACACTTCACCTGCACTTCCCAGAATCTAGTTTACTGTATTCGCTGCTCACAATGTGGTCTCCTCTACATTGGGGAAATGAAGCATAGACATGGCGACTGCTTCGCAGAATATCTACGTTCTGCTTGCAAACAAGACCCTGAACTATCTGTTGCCTGCCACGTTAACGCACCACCCTGTTCCCTGGCCAACATCTCTGTCTCTGGCTTGCTACAGCTTTCCAGTGAAGCTCAACGCAAGCTGGAAGAACAACATCTTGTTTTCCGCTTGGGCACCCTGCAGTCCTCCGGACTCAATATTGAGTTCAATAATTTTAGGGCCTAAACTCTCCCATGTCCCAGCCCCTTATCCCACACACCAGGCCTGTTACCACATAACCTGCCATTACACACTACCTGTTATTAGTCACTAATCGTCCCCATTAACAACTATTCACCCTCCCAGCCTGATCGTAATCACCCACTTTGTCTGTCCAGCTGTCCTTCTCTCTCTTAAGGCTTTATCCTATCGTTCACTCCCTACCCTGCCCACTTCCCTATTTTCTACATATAAACTGACGTTTTCCCAGCTACCATCAGTTCTGAGGAAGGGTCACCAGACCCAAAATGTTAACTCTGTTTGTTTCTTCACAGACGCTGTTAGACGTGCTGAGCTTTTCCAGCAACTTTGTTTTTGTTCCTGATTGGTTCTTTTGGTTTTTATTAGGGACTCCAATGAGTTGGTGAGGATGTTTTATGTAATCAGAGACAGTTGGAAGACATTGAAGCAGTTTGAAGCAGATTCAAGTTTGTTTGAAATGCTATGGCTTAAAATGATGCAATCATCATTTCCATTGCTGCAGGTAGACTTGACTGAGTCAAGTCAGGGGAGGCATTGGCCTAATGGTATCATTGCTGGACTGTTAATCTAGCAACCCAGGTAACATTCTTGGGACCCAGGTTCAAATCCTGCCAAGGCAGATGGAGGAATTTGAATTCAAAAAAAAAACCTGGAACTAAGAGTCTAACAATTACCATGACTCCATTGCTGATTGTCAGGAAAAACCCACCTGGTTCACTAATCCCCTTGAGGGAAGGAAACCACCATCCTTACCTGGTGTAGCCTACATGTGACTCTAGACCGACAGCAATGTGGTTGACTCTTAACTGCCCTCTGGGCAATAAGGAATGGGCAGTAAATGCTGCCTAGTTAGTGACACCCATTATCCTGTGAATGAATAAAAAAAAGTCAGTGACCAAGTCTGCAGGCCCCCTCAACAGCTGGCAGAGCCCCCTTGTACTTTTAGCGAAGTCAACATTTCTAATAGAGTTTCTAATTATGATTTTGATAGCATAGGCAAGATGTCTAAATTCTTCAGTTGGGAAGTAGTCATATTTTGAAGAATATTAGGGTCCCAATATCCCAAGTGTGGTGCAATTCCAGCTGCATCCAGTGTAATGTGCTGAAATTTTTTAAAATTATATTCATTCATGGAATATGAATGTCGTGAGCAAGGACTGCATTTAATCCATTCCTAACTGCCCATGAGAAGATGATAGGTAGCTGTCTTATTGAACTGTTGCGGTCGATGTAGCATAGCTACACTCACTGCGCTGTTTGGAAGGGTTTTCAAGGATTATGACCCAAGAAAGTAAGGAATTGCGATACAGTTACAAGTCAGGATGATGTGTGCCTTGGAAGGGAATGTGCAGGTACAGGCCAAGCATGGAAGTAAATTCATTCTCAGGCAGAAGATCTGAAATGTGCTACATAAAGTTGTCTTTCTTTTATATTTATTTCTTTTAAGCTTCATCAGAATGAAACAGTCAGTTGTGTCAAACCTCAAAGTGCCTTAATGTTGCTTGCCTGTTGGACCCTGACATATTGTACCTGTGCTAAGTCTGGGGGAAGAGGAAAGTGATTCGGTAGCAAGGGTGGCTGCAGTGTGTTGTGAAACCAGTACAAACATTCCTGTTCCTACTAATTTCACAAGCTAATAAAAGCTGTCTAAATTTTTGATATTTATATTTGAGCAGCCTCCAGCAATCCCTTCAAGGATCTCTGGTTAGATAGCTCAAGACACAGAAATGGCAATTGAAGCTTGTGCATTGCAAGATCAAACTAAAGCAAATTTGGAAGTTGAAATCTTTCAGTATGAATTTGCCACAGGCCTTGGTACTACTAAATTAGTTAGTGCTGCACCCATTTTAAGTTCATTAAATATGTCAATTAAAGTCTCTTTTGATCTTAAAGTCTCCGAAAATGTTGCCTTTTTTGGCTTTCTTTTTCTTGTACTCTTATGCTTTGCCATCCGTTATTACTGCAAAAAGTGAAGCCAATAACTGGTACTCAAACATTAAACTGTGTGGCACAAAGTTCTGCCGGTGGTCTCAGAGACCATCCAGTTGGCAGAAATAAGTCAGAAACATTATATCTGATTGCATTTCTGTGATGTACCTTGGGATTTTATTTTACTATGTGAAAGATGCTACATAAATGCACAATGTGTTATTGATGTACTGAGAGTGCAAGAATGACACCATACGAAGAACTTAAAACTCGGCTTATTTTTGCTACCAGAAAAGAACGTAAAACACAATTTATTTGTTACTTCTACAGAAAGATGTAGATGTTTCATACAAGTAATCTGCTGCTTGTGTTTATTTCAGGGTTTGTTCTAAATTCTATATGAACTGTACATCCAAATTAGTCACATTTACTTCTCTATGACTATGTCAAAAAAACTACAGGATTTTATTTTCAAAATAGATTTGATTGAATGATAAGATCACAATCAGTTGAACATTACAAAAATGTAGTACAAATTGAAACGTTTAACACTGTTCTACATTTTAAATGCAAAATTTTAGTGCAAAAGAATATGTCAGTAAAGTATAAAAATTTGGACAAATTTGATTTAAAAAGCATATAAGAACATTAGAGGTGCGTATCTGCTATTGGTATTCTTCTGAGCTCCACAATTTGTGAATTAGCAATGCTTCCACCATCTTGGCTGCCGTGATAGGATTCATTATCACTGGCATTAAGGCCAGCACCTGAGACAAGAAGAAACATTAATTCAGAATCAATCTAAAAGACATATTTGTTCTTTTCAACAGACAGTTTCAGACTCTACGGTCTGGAAGTAACTCTGAAACTGCTGAAAGTTATCCTTTTAAAAGTGGCAATACAGAAAGGTTTTTGCATGGCTCAGTCAATAAATGAACCATATACTGAGCTGAGTGTTTGTGTTGGGGAGGTTGACCGACAAATGGTTAACATGCACAGTACCCTAATTCATCTTAAAGTCTGCAGGCTAAAGTTATAAAAATATCACCAAGGGTTTCTGCTTCTAATTGCTACCCAGTAACTCCTGTTAGGAAGTACACCATGTAAATGTTGGTGAAGATACAATCTGGTTGAAATTCCAAATCATCAAAAATCCACCACAGTTATTCCAACCAAAAAATAAGTTGTGTATTTTCCTTTTTGTTGCTGGAGTATACAGATTCCTTTTCTTTCAACGCGTTGACTTCAAAATCCCGGAACAAACAGCTGGCTCAAAGTACTCCTCACCTTCATCTCATCCTACTTCTACAAAACACTCCAGTTGTATTTTTGTTTGTGAACTTTCAAAGGAACTAACACTGATAGAGACAAGTCAGCCTATTAGGACTATGCTGGCTGTTTGATAAAGCTATCCATTAGTCCCACTCTATTGCTCTTTCCACACAGCATTGTAATCTATTTCCTCTCATTTATTTACCTAACTCTCTTTTGAACAGTGTTTTTGAATGCATTTCTGCTCTTTTATGTGGCATATTTCAGATCACAAAAACTTGCTGAGCAAAATAAAACTTCCTCATTGTTGCCTTTGGTTCTTTAGCTGATCACCTTAAATTGATGTCATCTTGTTACCTAACCTGGTGTCACTGAAGCCAGTTCTCGTTGTTTCCTCAATAATTTGGTGTTTCATCTCTCTGTTGATTTGCAGACCCAGAGACACTGTTAGCCGAGACCTTTTGCAACTTTATGCAGACAGGTCAGCTAATTCTCTGCTCAACTTGTAAGAATACAGCAAAACAATCTCTGTAAAAGCAGGAGTTCACCACAACCCTTCCACAAACACTCCACAGTGCCTCCAGATATTATGTAGTGGCAGAATTTAATAAATTGGCTTCAGTCACCAATGTGGCTCTTAGTTCTTTAAATAAATTTAGTGCAGTGCCCATCATGCAGCTGAACACTTGCTGTTTGTACCATTTGTTTTCTAGACCTCTGCAATCCAAATTAGGCATTCTGTTGTTATATCAGCTGGTAGGACTGTGTGTCATCTATATAGCATTTCTTCTGAGACTTCCAGTGTACACTGTCGTCTGTGTGGATGCTGCTGAAGATAACTTGCAGAGGTGAAATTTATGGCTGTGAAAGCAATTCTTCCTGGATGGTAAGTAATCAAAACTTGTGAAAAGTCATGTAATATATCTTTTCTCCTGCATAAGACTAATTTATGTATGTATTCTTTTAGCATTCTCCTTGTAAGATACGTTAAATCTAACATGATGGAAATTGATCATCGCTTGTCAATTTCTTGATTACATTAGTACTATGTGTGCTGTAAAACTGTCTTTTTAAAAAAGAACAGTCACTCTTTCAGATGCTACCCAATTAGAAGCAATGCATTTTAAGACCAGGCCCAGTTTATAAATCCTAGCAGTTGCTACGTTGCTAGGTCACAAAGTGCATGTTTAATTTGATTTTACTGTAATGATATCTATTTTAAGAATTGCATTTGACTCAAACTTGAACAGTTCTTAATGCCCTGTAACCTACACTGAGCACACATTATTTAATTGTTACTTTAAAAATAGAATCCAAATATATAATGATTGTACTGTCACAAAACTCTTGTATGCTGTAGGTCTACACAGAATATTTCTTCATAGAGATCTGTAGGTTTCATGAAAACCTACAAGCAAACTATATTTTGATTTGGGAAGAATGAAGTCACAAGGGGCTGGATTTTATCAGCTCCTTGGGGATGTATTGGAAGGTGGGAAAGCTGGTAAATTGGTGCACAAAAGGGGCAAAATAGCATGGCTGCTGATTGTGGCAGATGGACCACTATCCCGAAGCTCAAGCCTGTGATTTAAGTGACCAACAAAAGGCCTTTTCACACACAGTTTGTTGAATCCTGCACCATTGGGGATAACATCCAGGGGGTTTTGGAAGGAGGATTTTCAATTTTGGGCACTCCATGGCCATGAAGGGGCCCTCTGATTACCACTCGCTCCCAGCCACAATAGGCATGCCTACTGCAGTTTTGTCCTCCTGTACTCAGTGATTAATCACCTCTGACTCCCCAACAATGATTGCCAGGGCCTATTTGCTTAGCTTCTGGCATCTTCAACCCTCACTTTGCATGTCTTCAATATACAACTTTGAGGCAGTTGAGCTGCTAGCCCTCTAATTGTCATGTATAAGTATCATGAAAATGGATCATAACTCAGTGTAACTTATAGATATACTGAACATTGAAGGACGTGTTTATTTTAAAGAAAAGGTAGAAGTAAAACCCAGAATCCCCAAGCAGCTACTCGACTACCAACGTCAGTGCTACCAGGATATCTATACTGACAGCTGCAACATTGCACAATCACTCATCATGGACAAGCTAAAGATTGATTTTTTTTCAATTTTACGTTATGGACTCATCTCTTTATCTATTCTGTATATATGTGTCACATTTTATTATAGTTTCTTGTATTTTAGTAGGCAATAAACTCATTCTTTCATTAAGAAAGCCTGGTTAAATTGGCCACTTTTAAAACAAATATACAGTTGGGCTTGTCTGAGAAAACTCTAACTCTGCATTGAATAAATTCAATGACCCAGCCTCCAATACTTGCTGGGGAACAGAATTCCATATAGTAATTCTCTGAAAGAAAAGCAATTCTCAAAAAAGAGCCTTCTATTCTTAACCTGTGCCCCATGGTTCTAGTCTCTTGAACAAGAGGATTAACCCTCTGGATATCCTCCCTGTCAAATTACCTTCAAGTCTTGTATGTTTCAATAAGATCATGCATCATTCTTCTAAACCACAATGGGTCTAAGCCCAAAGTGTATAATGTCCTTCATAAGATGTGCACTTCTTCTCTGGAATGACTTGTAATTTACAGAAGGCCAGATTATGCCAGAAAATCTATCCACGTGAAGTATAGCGCTAGTTCAGAATTAACAGGGATAAGGAGAGGTATAATTTCCTAGATGTCTAATCATGGCCCTGGACAGGGAAGTACATCAGGGCCCAATAACTGCAAGCTAGGGGATCCACTTTGCATGGACTGGGTATAGAACTGCTGTGTTCAGGTCAGGGATCAGGGGCCTAGGGACCAGGCCAGGAACAGCACCGAGTCCAATGATTTTGGACCCTACTCATATGCCTAATGACCTGCACTTTGAGATGAATTCGTACTCAGTGGTATTTACCTGGATTGTGGTTTCACCTTTTCACCCTCCATAGTAGCAGATCCTAACAGAGCAGCCTAAAGAGTTCCTTTGACAGGTTAAATATTGGCCTCCCCCACTCCAGACATTTCCACACACAACTTTTCAAATCACTGACCACTCAGCACTTATCTTGGATACAGTGGTACTGTTTTTAAAAGCATTAAAAAAAAAAATATTTAATTGGTGGGTGATAGCTGGCCTCTGAGATGCAGAGCTATACCTAACAATGATTTTGATGAGGGATCAAAGTACGATATCTGCAAATCTGCAGATGACACAAACTGAGTGAGAGGGGTGAGCTGTGAAGAGAATGCAGAGATGTTTCTTTCCAAGTAATTTCCAAGATGTTAACTGGTTGAATATTCTATTCTCAAGTTTTAACGTGATTTACAGATTGGTGGCAAAGTTAATATAATACATAAAAAGCAACATCAATTAGTGAATATTATAACTAAACAAGTAATGAAAAACTCATTAGGAATGGCAGTACAGGGGTTGAGTCATAGCTAAGCCTATGGGAGTTCAACGAAACCATTGTGGTTCAGGGCAAACATACCTGTGGGAAGTGTCTGAAGTTTGAACAGCTTCAGTCCAGAGTGTACAAGCTGAAGGTTTAATATTCACCCTGTGATTCATTAGGAAGGAGGAATGTTATCGAGACTGTTTGTACTGAGAGGCATTTACACCTCTTAGGATAATGTGTTCTGATATGGTCAGTAGTTAGGGACAGGAGGTTGTGGCTACAAGTGAGACAGATAAGGAGACCCAGAGAACAGGAGTGTCAGCCTCTGCAATTATCCAATAGAATTGAAGTTCTCAGCTTGTTGGGATGAGTGCAGGGGACCATGGGAAGGATACTGAGGTACAGAAAACCATTCAAATGGAGGGAACCAAATGGAATGTCATGGTGGTAGGGGATAGCATAGTTATGAGGTCTGACACTGTTCTCTGCAGCAAAGAATGTGAGTCCAGTGGACTGTGTTGTCTGCCCAGTGCCAGGGTTGGAGAAGAACTGGGTTGGAGGGGGAGGATCCAATTGTCATGGTCTATGTAGGCACCAATGACATAGGTAGAACTAGGAAAGTTACCTGAGCCAAATGCAAACTGGCATTGGGTAAACAAAATTAGAGAGATTAACATGCAACTTAAAGACTTGTGGGAGAAGTGAGCTCCAATCTGTGGGGCACTGGCACCAATGATGCAGAAAGTGTGAGCTGTACCATTGGGATGGTCTACACCTAAACCGTACTGGGACTGGTGTTCTTGTGAAACACATGACCAGTGAAGTAGACGGGTTTTAAATTGAATAGTGGGGCCAAGGGCCAAAATTTGGGAAGCTATTATGTGTCAAAGGGCAGGAAAATTGAAGCAGAGGAAGGAGTTAATGTGGGAAATGATAAATGGACAATGACAGGAAGGGATAGGGAATGCAGATCTAAGATCAAATCAGCACATCCGATTAAATAAGTATGATCTAGTGATCATAACCGAGGCATGGCTGCAGGATGACCTAGATTTGGACCTGAGTACTGAATGGTACGTGACATTTAGGAAGGATAGGAGATGGGAAAAGATGGAGGAGTGTTTCTTTTAATTAAAGATTAGCACAATAGAGAGAGATGACCTGAATTCAGGAAACCACAATATAGAAGATGTCTGGGTAGAGATGAGTAATTATAAAGGCAAGATTTCACATGTGGGAGTTGTGTATAGGCCCTAACAGTAACCTCATGGTAGAACATGGTATCAAGAAACAAATAATTAGATAAAGGCAAAATACTGTGGATGCTGGAAATCTGAAACAAACACTGAGAATGCCAGAGATGCTCAGCAGATCCAGCAACTTCTTTGCAGAGAGAGACAGAGTTAATATTTTGAATCTACTATGGCACTTCTTCAGAACTAAAGAAAAGGCATGTCGGGCAAGAAATAATGAGAGCTTGTCAATAGGGTCCTAGGGTCTAGTAATTATTATGAGGGATTTCAATCTAAATATAGATTGGAAAATTCAGATAGTCTCAATGAGGAATTAATTGAATGTTTTCGAATACTTTCTTAGACCAGCATGTTATAGTGCCAACCAGACAGCATTTTGTACTAGACTGGTTTTAACCAAGGAGATAGGATTAATTACTGACTTCGAAGTGAAAGCACCCCTGGTGGTAGTGACCATAATATGATTGAACTGTACATACAGTTTACAGGAGAAGAGTGGCTGTCCAAGATGACTTTATGAAATGAAACAAAGGCAATTATGAGAGCAGGAAAGCAGATGTAACAAAAGTGAAATGGTAATTTAGGTTAATGGATAGGTCAACAGAGATGCAGGTAGAGGCTGGTAGGTAGGATGTGGGGGTGGGGGTGGGGGTTGAGGTGGGAGAAAGGACAGACAGGTCAGGGAGGTGGGGACGAGCTGGGCTGGTTTTGGGATGCGGTAGGGGGCGGGGAGATTTTGAAGCTTGTGAAGTCCACATTGATACCATTGGGCTGCAGGGTTCCCAAGGGAAATATGAGGTGTTGTTCCTGGAACCTTCAAGTGGCCTCGTTGTGGCACTGGAGAAGGCCCAGGATGGACATGTTTTCCAAGGAGTGGGAGGGGGAGTTGAAGTGGTTTAACGGAGGCTTGGAGACCACTTTGTGGATCACGTATGCTCGGTTCGCAACAAACGACTGCACCTCCCAGTCGCGAACCACTTCAGCTCCCCCTCCCATTCCTTGGATGACAAGTCCATCCTGGTCCTCCTCCAGTGCCACAGCAATGCCACCTGAAGGTTGCAGGAACAGCACCTCATATTTCGCTTGGGAACCCTGCAGCCCAATGGTATCAATGTGGACTTCACAAGCTTCAAAATCTCCCCTCCCCCTACCGCATCCCAAAACCAGCCCAGCTCGTCCCCACCTCCCTGACCTGTCTGTCCTTTCTCCCACCTATCCGCTCCTCCCACCTCAACCCCCACCCCCACCCTCACATCCGACCTACCAGCCTCATCCCCGCTTCCTTGACCTGTCTGTCTTCCCTTAACTGACCTACCCCCATCCTAACTCTCCACCTACACTCACCTTTACTGGCTCCATCCCCGCCTCCCTGACCTGTCCGTCTTTTCTTTCACCTATCCGCTCCTGCCACCTCCACCCCCACCCCCACCTCCTACCTACTAGCCTCATCCCCGCCTCCTTGACCTGTCCATCTTCCCTTGATTGACCAACCCCCATCCTAACTCCCCACCTACACTCACCTTTACTGGCTCCATCCCCGCCTCCTTGACCTGTCCGACTCCTCGCCACCTATCTGCTACTTTATCCATCTTCCATCCGCCTCCCCCCCCTCTCTATTTACTTCAGAATCCCCTTCTCCTCCCCCCATTTCTGAAGAAGGGTCCAGACCCGAAATGTCAGCTTTCCTGCTCCTCTGATGCTGCTTGGCCTGCTGTGTTCATCCAGCTCTACACCTTGTTATCTCTTTATTTAGGGAAGATTCCTTTGGATAAGAAAATAGCTAATACAACTACTCCATTCAGAAAATGAGGGAGGTAGAAAGCAGGAAACTACAGTCAGTTAGCTTATCAACTGTTAGGCGAAAATGTTAGAAGCTATTAAAGATGTTATAATAGGCACTTGGACAATGTCAAGGTAATTAAACATGGCCAATGTGATTTTGTCAAATGGAAATCATATTTAATGAATTTATTGGAAATCATTGAAGTAACTTGCACCGTAGATAAAGGGAAACCAATGGGTATATTCCACTTAGATTTCCAGAAGGCATTTGATAAGGTTCCGCATCAAAGGTTATGATGGAAAACAAAAGCTCATGGTGTAGGGGCAACATATTTGCAAGGATAGAAGATTGGCTGGCTATCAGGAAGCAGTGAATAGGAATAAATGGGACACTTTTATGCTGGCAGGATGTGACAAGTGGTGAGCAACAGGCGCTGAAACTGGGGTCTCAACTCTTTACAATTTATGTAAATGATCTGGATGAAGGTACTGTGGCTGAATATGCCTGCCTCAAGCAAAATTGGTGCTTCAGTTAAATATATATTCAGAATACGTCTACCTTGCTCATCATTTTCTGTTGTTTTAGTGCAGGATTTCAAGCAAATGAGTCAATTTAAAAGTATATTTGTTGTTGATAGAAACCACAACATTGAAACAATAATAAGTCTATTTTAGCCATCTATAAATTTTTTCTGTTTGTGTCTGTGTCTTACTACCAGTCGTAACTTATTTATTGATGACAGCTAGCACATTGGAGTTCTGCGGTGGGATTCCCTGTCTAATGTATTTGGAAGAAGGTGAGTATTCCAAGTTCTCACTCACATACATCTGATGATGTGCAACTGCATCAGGAAATACTGAAGGACACGTTTCACTTTGAGACATGATTAGCTGTTTCAGGGACTCATTTCTCATGAAATCTGGAACAGTAGAGCAGGTGAAACCACTGAGATATATGAATGTATGATTAAGAATAATATTGGATCCTTCCTTGGAAACATTCTAATCATAATGTGCCATGTTTTCATTGGCATACAAAGCTAGTCACTGTAGTCTTAGTGGATGTTGTCAAGGTCTCCCTAACCATTTTTGATGGCCTTGCACATCTATTTGCCAACAGCACTGACATCTGGACTAAGACAGTTGCAGAGCTGTGTTGTTTGTTATAGGGATACATGCATTCACCACGAGGCAAAGAGCTGCCAAATTTTGCAACAACAATGGTCAACAGTGGGCTAAATTAATTACTGCTAAAGACATAGCAGTGATGGACCTGCTATCAGAAGAATATTTAATATGCAGGTCTATTGTCTCTGTTTCCCTTGGTAACAGCAGTCTTTCCACAGCCTAGCCACCGCTTGATTGAACAGAAATGAACATACCTTATTTTATTAATTAATCACTCACCAGTTTTTAATGCAAATATCAAGTCATCAAATTCTTGTGATTCCTCATCAGCTACCAGGTTGCTGTTAGCGTAACCCCCTGTAGTGGTGTAAATGCTGCCAATCTGTGGACTTTGCTTGAAGATACTGCTTGCTTGACTGCTAGGTCTCAGAGAGGCACGTTCCCAGTCAGCAGGAATCTAAAGAAAGAAAAATGAACTCTAGTAACTCGAAATTTCAGCACAAGAACAAGAATTATATGAGATTAACAATGCAATACAAAGCAACCAATGGTAGATTTAGAACTGTATAAACCAAGACAAAAAGAAGTATTGTTTCAATGCAAACAGCAAAAACAATGATGGCAAATGTTATTTTCATGAAAATGCTGTTCATTTTTAAATTGTCTCATGGGAAGTGGGTTTCGCTGGCTGGGCCAGCCTTAATTACCCATCTCTAGTTGCCTTGGAGAAGGTGGTGATGAGCTGCCTTCTTGAACTGCAGCAATCCATTTGCTTTAGCTGTCTCTCTAATGACAAAGTAGCCCTACAGTCTGTTAGGACTTGATACCCTCAATGTTAGGGAAGGAATTCCAGGATTCTGATCCAATAACATTGAAGGAATGGTGTTATGTTTCTAAGTCTGAATAGTGAATATCTTGGAGGGAAACAAACAGATGGTGGTATTCCCATGTATCTGCAGACCTTATTCTTCTAGATGGAAGAGGCCATGCTTTTGAAAATGCTACCTAAGGATCTTTGGTGAATTTCTGTAGTGCATCTTGCAAATAGTACAGACTGCTGCGACTGAGCATTAATGGTGAAGTGACTGAACGTTTGTGGATGGGATGCCAATCAACTGGGCTTCTTTGTCCTGATGGTGTCAAGTTCCTTTAATGTTACTGGAGCTGCACTCATCCAGGCAAGTGGTGAATATGTATTACATTCTTGACTTGTGCCTTGTAGAAGCTGAACAGGCTTTGGGGAGTCAGTTACTTGCTAGAGGACTCTTAGCCTCTGACCTGCTCTTCTAGCCACAAGGTTTATATGGCTAGTTCCATTTCTAATGAATGCTAACACCCAGGTTTGTGCCACAGAACACAATACAGGACATTTTCAATGTGAAAATGGGATGTTGTCTCCACAAGGGCCGAGGTGGTCACCTTTATCAATTCTGTGGTGGTCAGACGCATCTGTGACAAGCAGATTGTTAAGGGTGAGGTTGAGAATGATTTTCCCTGTTCATGGTTCCCTTACCACCTTCTGGGGATTCAGTTTGGGACTTGACCAGCTGGACCTATGGTGATGATGAATGCTGAAGTCCACCACTTAGGTACATTCAATGCCCTTACCACCCTCAGTGCACCTTAAAAGTGGTGTTCAACATGACGGAGTATTAATTCATCAGTGATGGAATGCTGTTGGCAGGATATTTCTTTGCTAATGAGATTTTATGAGGTCCAGAGTCAACTTGAGGACTGTCAGGTCAACTCCCTCCCAGCTGCATCCCATCTTTGTTGCTGTCCTCCTAGTGGGACAGGGCATACTATTTATGGTTCAGGTTTTGTCTGAGACATTTTGAGTATGATTACGTCAGGCTACTGCTTGACTATTCTATCTGCCAGCTCTCCCAATGTTGGCACTAGCCCCCAGCTGTTAGTAGGACTTTGCAGGGTCAATTTGTCTTTGTCACTTCCAGTGTCTTGGTCAATGTCAGGTAGTTTGTCTGGTTTCATTTCTTTCTTTAAACTTTTCAGCTCACCAAGCCACTATCTTCACACAATAATAGAGCTTCTGCTCCATTCAGATTCTATTTATCCATGTCACTCCAACATCATTGTTACATCACCCTCATATGTGCTTCTGGTGCTAATTTCATTACTTTGCACACTCCACAAAATAACTGCTGAGGTTTGCCTATGTAACAGTGATTTCATTTTAAAGTAATATATTGTAATATGAAGTACATTTGGAAATTTTTGAAAGATGTGATCAGGCACTATGTCAACAAACGTTCTTTAACTATAAAGTATGTAAAAACTGTTTAAGGAAAGTATCCAAAATGTTAATACAATTGAAATTTCTTAGTGGAAACCCTCATGTGCAAAAATGTAATCCTTGTACATACATTTGTTTTTAAGTAAACATTGTATGAACTGGGAAGCATGCTGATCCCAACAATTAAAATTGCAACAGCCACAGCAGTAGGTTTGTCTGACTTTCTTGAGTTGTCACTTTCACATGACAACATGATATTATGGAAATCCTTGCCAGCCATATTATGTTTGTGAAATTCTGAAACTATACACAGTAGTGACGGTCACAGCACTTTGTCTGATATGTGAGACTCCTGACTATTTCTTTATTTGAAAGTACCTAACAACAGCAAGTCAAATTCAAATAAAAATGCTGATATAAACTACCCATGTATGTTATACTGGTGCACACAGATAAGTACATAAATTACTTTTAATAACAAGATACATAAATTATTTTTAAACAAACTTGTAAAGTTGTACTTTATAACTGACTATTGGAAGTAATTTAGGATTTTAAAGGATTTACAAGAGATTGACAAGTTTGTGAAGTGGTAGCTTAATGGCACATGGAATTTAATACACAGATGTGTAATACACTCTGGTGCAAAGAACATGGAGTTAGGATAAAAGACACTATTCTGAAAGGTGTGTAGCGGCAGAGACCTGATTATTTATCACATAAGTCATTAAAAATGACCGCTGGGTTGAAAGAGCTGTAAATAAAGCAAACAATATTCTAGTCTTCATGAATAGTGGCTAGAGCACAAGTGCAGGGAGGTTGTGGTGAACTTATATTAGACACTGGTTAAACCTTAGTTGGAGTAATGTGTACATTTTTTATTCACTATGGGACATGGACATCACTGGTTGGCTAGCATTTATTGCTCATCCTTAGCTGCCCTTGAGAAGGTGGTGGTGAGCTGCCTTCTTGAACCACTGCAGTCCATGTGCTGTAGGTAGACCCACAATGCCCTCAGGGACGGAATTCCAGGATTTTGACCCAGCGACACTGGAGGAACGGCGACATATTTCCAAGTCAGCACAGTGAGTGACTTGGAGGGGAACTTACAGGTGGTGGTGTTCCCATATATTTTCTGCCCTTGACCTTCTAGATGGAAGGGATTGTGGGTTTAAAGGGTGCTGCCTAAGGATCTTTAGTGAATTTTTGCAGCTCATCTTGTAGATCATACAGCAAGCGTTAGTGAGGGAGAAAGTGAAAGCTTGTAGGGGATGTGGTGCCAATGCAGTGGGCTGCTTTGTATTTTTCTTGAGTGTTGTTGGAGCTGTACCCATCCAGGCAATTGGGGAGTATTCCATCACATTCCTGACCAGTGCCTTGTAGACGATGGATGGGCTTTGGGGAGTCAGGAGGTGAGTTACTCGTCGCAGTATTCCCAGCCGCTGACCTGCTCTTGTAGCCACTTAGTTTATGTGGAGAGTCCAGTTGAGTTTCTGGACAATGGTAACCCCAAGGATGTTGACAGTGGGGGATTCAGTGTGGTAAAACCATTGAATGTCAAGGGACGGTAGTTAGAATGTTTCTTATTTGAGGTGATCATTGCCTGGCATTTATGTGGTGCAAATGTTACTTGCCACTTGTCAGCCCAAGCCTGGATATTGTCCAGATTTTGTTACATTTGAACATGGACTGCTTCCAGTATCTGAGGCATCGCAAATGGTGCTTAACACTGTGCAATCATTGGTGAACATCCTCAATTCTGACCTTATGATGGAGGGAAGGTCATTGATGAAGCAGCTGAAGATGGTTGGATCTAGGACATTACCCTGAGAAACTCCTGTAGAGACGTCCTGGAGTTGAGCTGACCTCCATCAACCACAAACATTTTCCCATTGCCAGGCTTGACTCCAACAGTGGAGATTTTGCATCCAATACCTATTGATTCTGGTTTTGTTAGGGCTCCTTGATGCCAAACTCAGTTGAATGCGACCTTGACGTCAAAGGCTTTCACTCTCACCTCACCTCTAGAATTCAGCTCTTCTGTCCATGTTAAAACCAAGGCTGTAATGAGGTCGGGAGCTGAGTGGCCCTGGCAGAACCCGAACAGGGCATCACTGAGCAAGTTATTGCTGAGCAGGTGCTGCTTGACAGCATGGTTGATGACACCTTCCATCACTTTACTGATGATCAAGAGTAGACTGATAGGGTGGTAATTGACTGGGTTGGATTTGACATGCTTTGTGGACAGGACATAGCTGGGTCATTTTCCACATTGTTGGGTAGATGCCATTGGTATAATTGTTCTGTAAGAGCTTGGCTAGGAGAGCAGCAGGTTCTGGAGCACAAGCCTTCAGTACTATGGTCGGAATGTTGTCTGGGCCCATAGCCTTTGCAGTATCCAATGCCTCCAACCATTTCTTGATATCATGTGGAGTGAATCAAATTGGCTGAAGACTGGTATCTGTAATGCTGGGGACCACTGGAGGAGGCTGGTATGGATCATCCACATGAAAGATGTGGCTAAAAATTGCTGTGAATGCTTCAACCTTGTTTTTTACACTGAAATGTTAGGGTTGTCCATTGTTGAGCATGGGGATACTTGTGGAGACTTCTCTTCCAGTGAGTTGCTTAATTTACCACTGCCATTCATGACTAGATGTGGCAGTACTACAAAGCTTAGGTCTGATCCATTGGCTGTGGGATTGATGAGGTCTTTCTATCACTTGCTGCTTATGCTGTTGGGCATGCATGTAGTCCTGTTTGTTGGCATTGCCAGGTTGATACCTCATCTTCAGGTATGCCTGGCACGTGCTCCTGCACTCTACATTGAACCAGGGTTGATCGCCTGGCTTGATGGTAATGGTTAAATGGGGGATATGCCAGGCCATGAGATTGCAGATTGTGCTGGAGTATATTTCTGCTGCTGTGATGGCCCACAGTGCCCCATAAAAGCCGACTTGCTAAGTTTGTTTGAAGTCTGTCCCATTTAGCACAGTGATAGCGCACACAACAAGATACAGGATATTCTCAATGCAAAGGCAGGACATCATCTTCATCTTCACAAGGACTGTGTTTTGGGTACCACACTATAGAAAAGATGTGAAAGCATATGAGCACGTACAGAACATATTTATGAGAATGGTTTCAGGAATGAGACACTTGTTATGAGAAAGGATTGGAGACATTGAGACTGTTTTCCTTGG